TCTGTAACTCGTTGAAAATTTGTAACCTTTAAATTTCCATACGACGATGGAACGACGACGGACTCTGTTCGTCGTGGACATTTCATATCGGCGACGTTAAATCAAAGCGATCCCACCGTCGCGAAGATCGTCGGAAATCCAGAGACGGCGGTAACTTGAATGCAGACACGCGAAATCTAGACGGTAAATCACCAGGAGTCTCGTCGAGCGCCTGTCGGAGAGAGATCCCGCTACTTGCTCGTCCTACGAAGCATTTATTAATCGCTCAGCTCCTAAATCCCGTGGCGCAGCTGCCCTCGAAATGTTTGTACCTACGTATTGCAAAGTAAAGTGCGCGCGCGCGCATGAGGGGACGTAGAGTCCTCTGGGAGAGGATTAGGTCGGACATATTGAGAGCTTCCAACTCCCTATCCCGCGAAAGCACCAGCTTTCGGCTTCGAATGAAGGGCGAAGCTGCTGCCCTGTAGTGCGAACAACCTAATAAGTTTTTCCTTTTCTATCTGCAAAAGCATCCTGTCTACTTTCATTTTTTGTCACGCGTCGTTTCGCGCGTTACTTAAGAAAACGATAGAAACTGAGGTGCTTCGAGTAATTCGAAAAATCGCAGTATACAGTTCGAGAACATTGTAATATTCTCGGAGGAATTTCGAAGAAATAAAAAAAGAAATGGAAACAAATTATGGCGAAGTTGGTTGTGCAATGAAGTTGCTTGTGGAACTGGTAATTGCCAAAAGAGTCGCGGTGGGGAGGTAGGGTGGATGGGCGGGGGTGAGAGAGCTGCAAAAAAATCGATCCGTAAAAAAATCGAGCTGTAAAAAATTCGAGCCGTACTCCCGATGATCGAGATAACAGTTCTAAAATGCAGTCGATTTCGAACGCGTCGGCACAATACAGACAGATGACGGTGGAATATCCCCCTCGATGGTATTGCTGACGGGATGTACGAGTCAATAATTTCCTCACTCTAGCATTTTATGAGGGAGTATTATATGGGCGCTGGTTATCGATGATTAATCTCGGCGCTGTCACTTGCAAACCCAGGATTCGCGTCTCGAATGTATCGGTGGTTATTCGCGCACACTACCAATTTCACGTTCTTTCATTTCACGTTCGCATCACCTTTTGCATCATCGATGATCCCTAAACATTGAAAATGATCGATCATCGTCGATTGGAAATTATTGTTTAAGTCCGATTAAAATTTCCTCGTGTTTTCCTTTACTAAAAAGGAGCTTAACGATGCACGTCGAAACACCTATTAGAGGCCTTTAAACGGTCTAAAAGAAGGAAAAAAAAGTTTACGTAACGACGCGTCTCTCGGGAAGGGCGAACGCAACACGGCGTAACGTCTTTCACGAAAAGGGGCTTGGTAATGGTGGATTGCAATAATATTACAAGTTAATGCATAGAATCGCTCTCCCTCTCTCGCGTTTCGCACGTTCTTCGTGCTCGCGTATACGAAGCGCGCAAATATACCTTGAAAGCTCTGTTTGAGGAGAGCAAGGAGAGGAGAAGTTGGGGATGCGGGGTGGGGAGAGAGGTGCTTTCGCCATTGTCCGTGGCGTTACCTCGTCCTGCGCGACCCTCCCCTAGGAACACGAGGCGGGAGACCCTCGAGGGCTTGCCTCCTCGAATAATATTTCGTTCCATTATTCATAAACATTTTATAATCTTCTTAGCACTGTGAATTATTGCCGTTCGCGCAATTGAAATAATGCGGATTCGTGGTCCATACTAGAAGCACCTCTCTCTCTCTCTCTCTCGCTCTCTCTCTCTCTCTCTCTCTCTCTCTCTCTCTCTCTCTCTCTCTAAGTCTTTCTCGCGCGAACTTGCAAACGTATATGTATATGCGAAAAAGCGTAGAGAAAATGAGAGAAAGAAAGGAAGAAGGATAAAGAGGGGTGTGGTGGTAGCGCACGAAGGCAGTAAGGTATTGCACGACTACGAGAATAGAACGAGTTCGTTCGTTGAAGTGGCGTTGAAATGTTTCGAACCGAGGGAAAAATAATTGGACGAAGAGCCTTGTCGTTACTTGGCGAGGGAATGTGGAGCGTTACTACGACGACGAAGACGACGACGATGAGAGGGAGGTGCCGGCGCAACCTCCTTCTACCGTCTTTGTATCCAAGGACTTACCATTCCTTTCTTAAACTCCTCGTTACTGAGAAGTCTTCCGGCACCTCCTTTTCAACTTCCTGAGCGAAGGTATGTAACGCTTCTCGTACACAGGAAGAACTTTTCTCCTATCGCAGAATGTTTCCCCGTCCAACTACAAAGTACCGCGATTTTGTACGAGGATCAAACGATTTTCCTAAAAGAGCTAATATAAGGTGGACGGGCGTTAATTGTAATACCATCGAAGCTGTATAACACACGTGTCTTCAATCGGATCGCTCTACCGACCGTTGTAAAAGCTATCGAGCCGACGAGTAACGAAACGAGAATCGAAGAATATGAAAGAATAGATAAGTATTAGCGCGCTCGGTCGATCGACGATACAGCTAATCGAAAATGGGATTACGATTGAGAAATCGAGTTAAAGGAAAAGTTTGACGAAGGTATACCCGATGGTTCGCTTCTCCCCTCCGTCCGTCCGTCCGTCCGTCCGTCAGCAGAAAGTTTCCCCTTGGAATAATCCTCCGCGACACCTCTTATTAACGTTGGGTCCATTCGAATCGTGTTCTTAAACTCCTCGTTACCGGTGCGCGCACTACTTCAACGGGGGGTCCCCCTCTCCCGAATCGCTTTATCGAAGTTGGAGAACGGGATTGCGAACAACGGGCTTTGGGAATGGCTGTAATTTTGATAGGTCATAACTCTCTCCCGCTCTTTGAAACGCTATACCAACGAGACTCATACCAGATATCCCACCAGAATCGGGGAGTTAGAAGAGAATAAAGAGGAAAGAGAAACAGAGACGACTCACTGATCCCAACGCTTAACTAACGGATGATCTGAAATAAGATTTACGAAAGCGATATCTCCTTAGCGTAGGTAATTTGAAGTTGCGGAAAGGGCGACGCGTATAAAGCAGTCACGCGCGCTCCAGCCCTTCCCTGATCTCTCTATTACAGTTCGGATTAGCTAGTTATGAAACTCGCCGGCGAAGTGGTGATGAAGCGTGTTCGGAAAGTTTCCATCTGGGTGAGGTTACATGGCGAGGATCGTGGACGCGAAAGCTTTATGCGTGTGCGCGCGGAGTTGCATGGAATAAGCGATCAGGGTCGTTCCTGGGGGAGGCACGTTAGTCCCGTGTTAATTTCTTCGTGACAGGGGAGACGTCGCCTCGACTTCGACCGGCCCCTGGCTTTTGAGAATTTTGCAAAGACAAGCCTGCATCGAACAAAGTTCCTCCTTTCGGGTGCTCTCTATACGCGACAACCGTCGTACTCCGAGGGTTTTTAAAGCGATAGCGGGAATAGCGAATGACTAGAAAGAAACGAATTCTAGAGTTATAACGTCGCGTTTGGCGTCCTAAGAAATTTCCATGATTACGAGCTTCGGGAATCTCTATTTCGAGGACCGCGAATCCAAGCTGGTACCTGCCAAGCGCGATTGGCGCCGCGTTACGTCACCACCGACTACGAATCAAAATCTTATTAACTGCTGAAAGTGAGTTTCACTTCAAAGTGGAATTTAATTACATTCGCGCCTCCACCCTGTCCCGTGCCCTGCCCTTTTCCTTACTACTCTCTTCTCGGTCCCGTTCGTCTTGCTCTTTCCTTTATCCCTACCCCATTTCGCTCTTCTCTAACTCCCTTTCCGCCTCTCATTTTCTTCGAGTCTCCTCTTCCTCGCCGCCAGTTTCTCGCAAACTCCTTGAAAGCACGTCCGACCCGACCAGCATCCCATTACTCGCGGTCTTCATTTTTGAATGAAAATATTTAAATTTCCCTGCCTCGTCCAGCGGAAATTATTGCCCTTCCTGTCCTTTCCGAGCGAGCTTCCTTACCCCGTCTCGCCATATACAATCAACTTCTTCTTACTCTCTCAGCAAAAATCTTTACCTCTCTTTTTCTCTTTACAAGTACGCGGAAGAAGGTTGTTTGGAACGCGAGCAAATATCCAAATGCCAGAGCGATTATACTTTTTTTTTTACTTGGCCGCTGGTAGTCAGTCGTTGCTTACTCATTGGTACGACGTTTCTAAAGGGCTATCCTCTTTCTTCCAACGCGCGCGCGCGCGCGCGCGCTTTCTCTCTCTCTCTCTCTCTCTCTCTCTCTCTCTCTCTCTTCTTCGTGCAAGCACCGAGGCAATTGCTTCTTTTGAAGTGCGCTTACTCTCTCGCGTTTTTTTCTTACAGGCGCATCTCGTGATTAATTTCGCAGTCTCGGTTTGCTCTTCGTCCTTTGCCAAAGGAGTGGAGAGAGAAGGTGTACCCTCGAGAATCCTTTTTCTTCTTCTTCTTTTTCTTTCTCTTCTTCTTTTTCTCCTTCTTATTCTTTCTTCACCTCCCCGTCATTCGATGGACCTCGAGAAGAACACGTCCGCGGGGAGGGATTATGAGTTTCGCAGCTCATCACCAGTTTGAACGCGCGCCCGAGAAAATGCTTCCCCTTCTTAACGAACTAATCGAAGAGAGTGAGAGTGAGATAGAGTGAGAGAGAGAGAGAGAGAGAGAGAGAGACAGAGAGAGAGAGAGAGAGAGAGAGAGAGGAGCGAGGGGAGGGGGCGGGGCAGAAAAGGAGAGAGAAAAACGTCAGTTCTCTCTAGCGAAATCTTTTCTCGTATTTTAATTTAAAAGTTGGACTTTGTCGAGAGATCTCTTTTCTGCGAGAAAACACGAATCGTCTGGGTAGAGCATATGAAACTGCATTAGAATAGACGCATTTTTAATCTTTTAATCATGTTAAGTGATGGACTGTGTTGGATGATGAACTCTCGATCGAACTCTCGTCGATTCTAATCGCATACAGATAATGATACGTAAGAGGAAAAAATATACATGAAAAAAAGAAAAGAAAAAAAGAAAAGAACAAAAAAAAAAAACTACTACTCACCTTTGCTGCTACCGTCTGGACCACGGAGGATGGTACACTCCTCTATTGTGCCGAAGGCAGCGAACAATTGTCGGACATCGTCTTCAGTCTGTTGCTTGCTGAGCATTCCCACGAACAGCTTTCTGTCTGCGAGTTGTCGGCCGATTGTCGAAAGTGAGAGAAAACAGAAAAAAGGACAAAAAAATAATGTTAGTTACTTTTCAAGTCCGTGCACGGATTTGGATCGTTTGTTTCTTTTTGTGCTTTATAGGCGTCAAAGAGAAGATCTTGCGGCTAACACCGAGAACGACAAAGTTACACGGTAACACCAGCATCCACCATCCTAAGGGGAAGGAGGTAGGGGTATACAAAATGTAAAACACATCCGTGTGTGGAGACACGTAAGTAACGATCTCTATACCGATGCGTACGTTTACACTAGCTTACAATCGCGGTAAACGTATCCATCTGAGACAGCGTGGAGGGCTGCGTGTGTATTAATGCGTGATTACGATAACGGTAACATATAATACGAGGAAGATTCAAATTTGATGGCTTTTTAATCAGCGGTTCCCCCGATAGGATATTCGGTAAAGTTAATTTTGTCGTCGCTCAAGACAGAATCTTGGATTGAATTGGCCAACGATCAAATTGGAATGGAAGAATCAAATGATAATGGTAGTTAGCGTTCTGCCAAAGAATCCGCCTCGTTTCAAATTTGAACGTTCCTTTCGAAAAACGATAATAATTATAATAATAATTGACGATATAATGTACATATTTAACGATAATAATAATAATAACAATAATAATAATAACAATAATAATAATAATAATAATAATAATAATAATAATAATAGTAATAATAATAATAATATGATGATGATGAGGATGATGATGATAATAATGATAATAATAATAACAATAATAATAATAATAATAATTAGAAGAATGTGGTGACATTAAGGAGATATGAAAATAATCCAATTAACCAATATACCAACCTACGACCTACATCACAAGCCGAAGAAATAGGTGGAGAAAACGAACGGGATCGCGAAAAAATCTGATAAAATGTAAAACGTTAAAACATAAAACGTAAAACGTAACTACGTACGGCATTCTCGACGATGGCAACGAGTCGTTTCGCAATGGCTTCGGCCGAATATATCACGAGTGTTTCTCACGTACGCATGTATAGATCATACGAAGAATTTTAGTTGAAACCGTCACGGGCGTAATCACCGAGGAGAATGCCGCTCTCAGTGCCGAGGCATACCTCTTTTATATAAAAGGTTACACACTCAACACTCATTACGTGACATTGAATATTTACGATAATCTGCAGCTATTTCTAACCTGTGTAACAATAATATCGAAAATCAGACCGTCGTTTTGCCCTTTATCATTTTGCTCTCCTTACTTTTTCTTTTTTTCTTTTCCATATGATGGACGTATACAATTAGCCTAATTAGATTTTCTCTTGTTCGTCTTTCGCGATAGGGTCACCAGAAGACAGGATAATATTTTTTTAAATCATTATCTTTCCAGACAATAAAAAAGTAAATAATAATTTTCGCGAAATAATTCGGCCCCCACGACTCCATTGATTACTTATCGCGTTTAACGTTCATTCCTTTGTTCGAGCATTTTTCCGTAGGATTTTCGTCCAGGATTTTCCAATTAAACGTAGTCGATAAATACCAATGAATTCTTTTTATTCGTTACACGTTCATGACGAATGGCATCCTCGGATTCGTGAGTCCGACAATTATTAAGCGTGTGTGTGGTTTGATGTGCGTTCGTTCGTATAAATTTAGAGGAATGCTGATAGCGAATAGAATTAATTGCCGTGACTTTTCTGATCCACTAAATTCTCCTATCGATCTGGTAAACCCCAATGAAATTTTTGAGAAATTTTACGGAGGCAAACAAAATTTGGAATTCAGTTGCAATTTACATTTTTCTTGTCTTTAGAAATATCTGCACCTAAACGTATCCACGTTAGAGCGTTCTCTAACTCGATAAAACAGACTGTCGTGGGATGAGGAACAGTGTATGTAGGCGTATCTGTGTGAACAAGAGAGGTGTAAAGGGGAAATCGTAAGAATAAGATTGATCGGGTATGGCTTTTAACAGCCGGAAAACGTAGAGTGATCGGACACGGATGAGTGGTGAAAAATTTTGATAAAGAATCAAATCTAATTACAATAAGATAAACGTAGCTCACATCATAATCAGAAAATATGTACAAAGGTGATAAAAAACACATCGACAACGAACGAGACAACACATCCAACGAGCGAGCCACTATTTTAATGGTCACAGCTGTAAAGAGCAATTATATATAAGGTATACTTATATACACGCATATTCGATGTATATGCATTATGCTATACGTATAGTGTAAATACATCAATTATACATGTATACGTGGCACACGATTAAGGGGTGGTAGTGTGGTGATGATGGTAGTATCGAGACTCGGAATCGACAAAGGAACTTGAAGGAACTCGGTAACATGAAGCATGAACGACCGTCGGTTATAGTACGAAGAAAAAGATAAGAGGGGCAGGGACGGAAGAGTTTATCGTCGCCGTATGTTTGGTGGTATACGGACAGACACATACACCCACACCCACACACAGAGATAGATAGACAGACGTGTATATATACATATATATATATATGTAAATATACATATATATATGTATATATATATATATATATATACATATATATATATATATAGAGAGAGAGAGAGAGAGAAAGGAAAATTATCTCGAGAAACGCGAGTCTTAATCGCTACGCTACATCTTACGCTTTTTCTCCATTATTCGCGTGGTTATTCGCGTTAATTCATACAGCGACGAGGTAATTTATGGCATTCTAAAAGCGTTCGCTCAAGTCGCGTCGTAACTAGGCTTTAATAGTGTGATAACGACTGTGCGTAATACAGAGAAAGAAAAAAGAGACAGACGACAAGTTTACGGCTACAGGTACCAGTCACGCACGTGGGTTTACGTAAAACAATACTATCCATAATACCTTTTCTTCTGTAACGATGTCTATCGTGCTGGATCAAGTACAAAGTATAAGATAGAAAAAGAAAGAGAAGAGGACGGCAATGGACGGTGCGTGAGAGTGTTGAAGATCCGGTACGAGGATTCCAGATTGCAATGCGATATGGAAGTTGTTAGCGCGTTCAGGTGTGACCAATGAAAAAAGAAGGGTGAAAAAATCTCGATCTCGGGGGGATGGCGATATTGCGAAAAAAGGATGAAGACGGAATAGCGAGGCGTCTTCGAGATATGGTCGATTCGATTCTTGGTCAATAATTTGGAAAGCTGATTAGGAAGAATCGATTTACTTTATGCTGACGTTGAAGGGTCTTTTTCGTCAGACGGCTCACGAATGGATTTAGTCGAAAAGGAGAATCTCTCTATTTCCTTGCGACAAATTTTTCCGTGCGGCGTTTGCAATTTGGATTCTGCCTCTTTCGAGGATGGATATCTAACGCATATACCGATTGGATGTATGTCGGGAAATAGGATCATTCGTGACTGAAGCAGAAAGGAAAGACATGTGGTAAGAAAAGAGAAGGTAGGAAAAGGGGTGGATCTGTAAAAGGAAGGGCAAAAAATGTGGTGGATCGAACACTAGCGAGCAGCAAAATGAACTTTGCAGCGGGCTGTGCTAGGCTGAATCAGCGGTGATGGCGCGACGAAGTTAAGGAAGATTCGTCTCGCTTTTCGTTCACTTTTTTTCTTTCTCTTTTCAAAGAGAAGGGGCTCTCTTTCTGCCGATTTGCGGAGAAGAAGAATAGAGGTACTGGAAGGAAGCTAGCTATCTCCTGGAAGTCGAAGTTACCTTCAGCGGCTGCCACCGGTGCCTCCTACTTCCAGAAGATGGCACAGGCGCTCCCGTCGTCCATCATGCACTCTGGAATACAGAACAGAACAAAGAAATGGCATTGGGCCCAACAAATTATACGCTTCTTCTTCATTCGTTCGTTCGTTCGTTCGTTCGTTCGTTCGTTCGTTCGTTCGTTCGTTCGTACTTTTTTCTTTCGTTGGCCAATAGCACCGTTCCCAAACGCAGTTGCGTCTAAGTCGCGCAACCAAGCGCTTTCTTTCTTTCGCGTGATTATCAAAATGTATAGATTATCTTAAGAAATATGAAAATATATCTTGTAGAATAATAAATAAACAATAACAATTTCTCATAAAAATGTCTCTAACGTTATACTGTGTAGCATAAAAATACTTTCACGAACTTCTTGAAGAATCAACGAGAGACACTGAGAATAAAAAAGTTAAATCTCGATAACTCCTTGTCCCTTTCATTGTACCTCGATACCGAGCGTCGCAACTTTCTTCATCGGTATACCGCATCCTCCACGTGAATGAACTTAATGATCCGTTCTCGCGAAGGTTATGGTGATGTAAAATTGGCGAACCGAGTTAAAGGTCGTCGTCGTCGTCGTCGTCGTCGACGTCGTCGTTGTCGTCGTCGTCGTCGTCGTCGTCGTCGTCGTCGTCGCGGATGTTAGACGCGAGAGCTCATTCCACGAGGTGCCTTCTCCCGATTCGCGCCTTCCAGCCGGGCTCTAGGGCACATTTAAGGATTTGTCTCGGGAAATTAGATTCTCGCCTGACTTGCAGCCTCGTTGCATCTCCGCTTTCTCGAGATTCTTCCCCATACTTCGTCCCATCCGCCAGCCCACATCATTTTAACCCTTCTACTCCGACAACTTCTCCAGCAGTTTCTTCACCGAGTCGCCCCTTAAACCGCCCACCAACCACCCATTTAACCATTCCTTACAGGAGAAGATTCTCCTTCCGTCAGCCTCAGGTACTTTTCAACGAAGCGTTCGTTCTCATTGTCGCGTCAGGACACCGTCGGGACCTAAGAATTGAACCTTTGTCGCTGGAGCTGACTATTAACGTGCCACTCTCAAGAACCTTCTTCTTCGATCTTGTCGAGCCGCCTAAGAAATTATCTTCTCGATGAACGGCGAACAAAGTAAGTATCTCATTCGCATACCAAGAGTGTCGTATTGCATGGTATTGCTATTTGTAGTATCTGCGATCGGTTTTATTTATCATTGATTTTACGTAATATCTTTGATGGAATAAAACAAGTATAAATTTATATGACGTTTCTATTATTAATCAACAAAGAAGCATGGCGTAGATTCTTCAAATTTTAAAATGTTACATATTGTCCTAGAAAAGTATTAACATAATTCTATCTTTTGGCTAAGATCTTAAACTTTATTCACAATTGAAGTTTCAATACTTTTGAAAATTCGCCAAGATTTCTGTGGACCGCGTAGCAAAAGTCTACGTCACTTTGGCTAACCCAAAGTTAGCTTACTAGCAATGAAGGTACCAACCAAGGCCCCTGATATCTCAGGATACGTTTATCTCTACAAAGGTAGTAAGACGAGTGATGGCGATGGAGGTAAGGTGGCTCGCCGAGGGATCGAAACTTATCTACTTGTTCAACTAGCTTCGGTACAGCTCCCACTTCACCCTTATCCAGTTGGAGAACTCCGGCCCAGCCCGACTTCAACCAACTTCCACGTGAGATACGTATTTCTCAAATCTGTTTCTCTCCGTGTAGACTTAATTCCATTTACTTTTCAGGACTCCTGCGAAAAATCGCCTCGATAAAAGTGTCACTTTCACGACCGAACTTTCGCTTACCTTTTTTCTCTTGGAAATTTCTTTTTAATCATATACACGTTAATTAAATTAACGATTCTACGTTGAATCGCATGGAATACAATCATCACTAGTTAAACGTCTCCCATATTCCCAGAGGAATATCAATTAAGAACGTTGTCTTACGATTAGTTAGATACATCTCACGTGCTGACTAATAATAATCGCGAATCTCCTAAGCTAATCGTATCTAATGCCAAGGGACAAATTAGACATTCAACATTGGTAGTAGGATCTCAAACTTTGACCCTTGATGACGGAGACGCACAACGGATGTGAATTCTCACCCCTTGCCGATTAGAAATGTCGTGGAAAGGAGACGTTGACGACAAGACATGGGACTTGGAAGAGAAGCCTGTTAAGGTGTAGGGAGAAACCGTGCCAAGAGAGATAGATAGATAGATAGATAGATAGACAGAGAGAGTGAGAGAGAGAGAGAGAGAGAGAGAGAAAGAGAGAGAAGGAGGAGGAGGAGGAAGATTTTGAAACCATCTTGGGCGATAGAACGTGGCAAAGGCAAGAGACGAATCCTGGTTTAGAATATATCCAGGAGGTTAGGTCGGAGAAAGCGGTTCGTTCGTGTTACTGAAGTTCACTAACCCCCTGATTGAACTTCACGAGTACGTGAGTACAGCATAGTATCTACATAGGTATAGTACGTGGCATCGCCCTCAATGGCAACAGTAACGGTAACAGCAGAGGAGCAGCAGCAGCAGCGGCGGTGGCAACGGCGGCAACAGCAGTAGCAGCAGCAGCAGCAGCAGCAGCAGCAGCAGCAGCAGCAGCAGCAGCAGCAGCAGCAGCAGCAGTGTAGCAGTAGCAGCGAGGCATCGGATCACTCAGCCTACATCCGCGTCAAGGCAAGGCGGCTTTGTAAGGCCGTACCGAGCTGGGCGACCGGAGATTACAATGGCATCTCATCCAGATTAGCATATGAATTATGATCCCCCTGCGCACTTTCCCTCCTTCTCGGCTTCTCTCCTTCCTTCTATTGCTCCTCCATCTCCTTTCCGTGGAACGTTTGATGCACACGGATTCTTACTTGAAAGCATTACAGTTGATAAAAAAGGCTGAGTCTTCTTTATTCACTTCGTAATTCGTTCTGGTCTATAAGAATTTCAAGTGGACGATGAAAACATTTTGAAGATGTATCATTCTTGTTCTATGAAATTGATAGTACATCAAGTTCAATAAGGTTTATTCCAATTCGTTGTAGTAATACAATTTAAATCCATAGTATTTTTAATTTCAACGATGAGACATCGTCTCATAGAAGCTTTCAAGACGTAGAGGAATTCGTTGAAATATCGGACTTGTCATGCGGGCTCGCAGCAGGAGACACTAAACTATGTTCCAAGTTCAAACGTTTCAAGATTATCTCTGATGTTCGTATATCTTTATAAGTTGCTTCATTCGCCCCATCTCTGTATGTGGATAATAATGATACGATGGGAGACCGAATGTTGGACCGATCGATTTCACTTCTCCTGACAAGAAACGTGGGAGGGCTGAGGGAAGGGCTATGCAATTTCGAAAGTCACTGAGGGAGGATGTCGCCGTTGTTATTGAATTCGATGGTGTCGATAAAATCGATGCGTTTTAAAAATGTGACGATGTCTCTGGAGGATCGCCGTAATAATGGATGTACGACGACAAATGTTTGTGTTATATGCAGTGCGCGTTTTTCACAATATTTACGTATCGTCAACAGATTTTTAACCGCGTATCCTATGGTCCGGTGCTATTTGCATCCTAGGGAATGGATATGTGTTATGTCATTCGTATATTTCGTAGATCCCAACAGAATTTTCAGAACGACCGATTCGTTTACGCTACGTGGAATATTACGTATGAATTGCTGAATTGTCCATATATTCGTTATTAACTTTACGTCGCGCAACAGAGAACGACACAATTTTCTCCTGTCCGATCGGATGCTAGTCAAATGTAATCGATACTTTTACAAATCTTTAAAAAGTGATACATCTCTCGTTAACGGCATATGATATTATATGACTTAACTTTTTTCAAAATTTCTTTCGCAACATTTTTAAAACAAGAAATGGTTTTGTGTCTCGTGAACAAACAGAGCGAGTAGGTCTCATTTACCGAAACTCCAAGCACGACCCGGGGTAGCCCGCTAAAAGCTACCGGGAATTCAATCAGCTTTTACGCAGAAAGCCAAACACATCTGGCTGAGTGCCAGAGATAGGAGAAAATTTGGAGCAATGGTCGACCGAGATGACGAGAACGGAAGAAGGACTGAATTGGGAGAAAATTCTATAAAAAAGAAAAAGAAAGAAAAAATAAAGAAAAGGAAAAATAAAAAAAAAGAAAAAAAAGAAAAAGATTCCTGACGCAAAAAGGCAAAAAATGTCTTAAAGGGCATTTTATCGTTATTCTGGAAGACGAAATATAGACCGCTGAGGCGGATCCGAACCCAGGGTCGTCCTTAGATTTCCCGAATAATAAATTGAAAGGATCTTGCTCTACGCCCAATACGCATAATAGTTAAGATAAATTCAAGTATCGCCCTTGCTTTAATATTTTTACCTTATTACAAATAAGGATTTATGATAATAATACGATAATTGGTATTCACTAGATAAATCGATCTTTCTCACCTCCGCGGTTTTCACTGTCCGCCGGCTTCACTTGAATAGGACGGTTCATCTGAAACAAAAAGAATTTGTACCAATTAGTCGCAGTTAGAAAAGTGTGCTATCTATTCGTTCGTTACAATCTATTTCTTTGTACAAATTCATAAGCGATTAAAAAATCTTATCTATATTGGTTACGATCGGTAATCCTTTATTTCCTGGAAATGAAAAAGTTGTACAAAACTTTTGCGACATCAAAGAAAAGAAAAATAGAAGAAAATATAAGTCGAGGTCGTACTTCTACTAGTAAGGAGAAAAGAACGAATTGCTGCAGAAAGTGTGCAGCAATCGGAAGTGTCGTTATTTGTTCGGTACGAAGTGTCCAGTAGGTGTACATTCGTCCTTCGTCACTTTGCTCTCGCTCAAACACCGTCGGAGATGGTGAGAGGTACCTCTGTCGTTGACAGGTCCAACTGTCAGGGAATAAGGGTGGCAAAGACGACGACGACGACGACAACGAAGGATAAGGAGCGAGATCCTGGTAGACGGTGTAAAAGGGGAAAATGTTGGGATCGAAGACAGAAATTGTAGAGAGAGAGAGAGAGAGAGAGAGAGAGAGAGAGAGAGAGAGAGAGAGAGGGAGGGAGGGATGGGAGATATAGAGAAACGAGAAGGATAGTCGGACGGTGGTGGTCCTTTCGTAGCATTCTGCTCAAATCTTTTAGACCGCACTGGAGATGGCTTGGACTCCCAGAACAAATAACATTGTTTATTTGTCGGACCACGCCGCCGCAGCACGCTCTACTTCTCTCCTCCAGGGATCCAGATGCATGATTCATGACGCAGGGGACAGAGGACCGTAACTTCGATCCTTCGAGAGACCCCTCGCTCCTTCTGTGTTTCTCGTTTTTCACCCTAGCACACTAACGTCGTCCTGGTTACTGAGGATGCTCCTTCCAATAAGGCGTTATCCTGCCACTCTTCACTTGAAAGTGCTCTCTCCGACCAATTTTCCTTCCGACGGCGCCCTAGCGCACGCACGAACGGAAGGGACTAGTTCGTCTTTACCACTGACACGATTTCTCTAATCAATTTTCCAAGACAATTTGAAACTACTAACTCGATCTTGATATATTCTTTATCTCTTTACAAATGAATTCATTCATAAGGGTGCAATGTTTCAGTATACAACGGATGAACTTAATGCGATGGCATCCATTCGAGTTCTAGGATTTCGGAAAGAGATTAGGACCGCTTAAGGAACGATGAATCTTGGAAGTGGGAGCACGAAATCTGGTCTTTAACATGGACATGACACGCTCGGGATCCCTTCGAATGCCACGACCATCTGTCTTCTGACTCGCTACTTTTTTTCATTATACGGTATTTCCCATAAGAATTGCCGGGGCAGGGAGGGGGAAGAAGGCAAAAAGAAAGATAGAGAACGAACGTGCGGTAGATGGGAACGTGCGAGGCAGCCCCAAAAGTTTTTCTTCCTCCGCGCGCACGCCAGATACCAAGGGGAATTGGTCGCATTGCAGGGGTCAGTGCCATGACCACGTGGATCTTATACACGCTATATGCTTTTCACGAGTGGGACAGAAAAAAATGAGTGATAGGGGAAGGGGGAGTGGAGGGAGCGGGAAGAGTCGTATACAGTTACCGGGTTTTGCTGAGTTTTCTAACACAGATCGATAGTAAATAAATTATTCTTTCTTATACTTGCTTTGGCACGAGACGAAAGTTTATCGGTGAGAGCAAGGAAAGTAGAGAGAGAGAGAGAGAGAGAGAGAGGGATAGGAGAGGCCATTTTAAGCACTATTCAGAAAATTAAACTTGCTCAGCGATGCTCATTAGACATAATTGTTGTTGTCTCGTTGTTGGAGGAGCCTAGATATTTCGGCATAGGTTAGCGGTACACTACGATAGCTTCTCCGATATTCATTCGGCCTCCTTAAAGTAAATTTAACGTAACTAGTGTATCGCATAAATGTCACTTACGACTCGACCGAGTCCATGCCAGTCGAGAACTATCGACTGGATAGCTACTTTCGTTGTCGTCCTTAACACCAATAATGAAGACAAATGTCTATTAATTAATGAAATCGCTAGGAAACTCGGCTCTTGTTCAAATAAACAATGAATCAAATGTAAGCGTAGAAGATAATTATTCGAACGTAAAGTATTAATGGACGGCATGTATTTCAACAAAAGCAACTACCTCTTATTAATAGGTAAGGCTCTTTCATAACGACATGGCGGAGCTCGGCTCCGCGCCTTTATTTAATGATCGCGTTACGATCGAGCGTCGACCCTTTGGCAATTCGTGTCATCAGGCATGTGCACTTAGAAAATCGATTCCCTTGAGAGGCACCACTCAAGATAGATGCTAATAAGTAAATGTGTTTGCCGAGACCCGAGCGCGCATCACGGGTAATTAATTAAGCTCGATTATCTATGTACACTGCGGGGAGAAAGCGAGCGTTGCCTTCTCTAGGTAGATGTAGAACGATATCCCTGAAAGGAAGAATCACGAGGAATTGCAATTTTGATCGTCCCAATTTTGTATTCGTCTATTTGACACTCCCTTTCGACCTCGACTTACTTCATCGCAAATAAAATAGATATATATATATATATATATACATGAATAAATAGGAAATAAATGGGAAATAAATAGTCGAAGGGATAGCAGATAAAATCTTCGTATATTCAAGTGGTCCGAGAGAGAAACCCCAAGGACCCGTTACTATGAGCCCATAAGAGAATTTGCAGCCGGAACGTGGAAAGTTGGTGGAACATATCCTACGACGATATATTCAAGTCCCCTTGCTTCTCTTCCTCTCTCCTTTTTTCTTTTTTTCTTTCTTTTTCTTTTTTTTCTTTCTTCAACAAGCAAACGTACGAGGAGTCTTAGGAAAGCCACGTAAAATTCAGATATCGAATGGGTGGAGGCTGATAAGCGGCGAATTGAATGGTGAATACCGTTTCGGAAATTGAATAAGCTATCGTGGCTGTGCCGAAGCGCCAAGTGGAAACCCGGTATTTGACCTGGCTGCGTGCAATCAATGTACTGATTGGAGATAAGGGCTCGCCCTGCGGACTCCCTCTGGCATCCTCTACGGCATGATTTATATAGGTATGGCCTTCGCCGGCGATGTATTCATTACTTGATTACCCTTCAGCGAGTTAATTTCGATCATGGCCACGTAACGAGTCGGATGACTTCATCTCTTCCATTACGATCTTTTTACCTTTCTGCCTGATATGATCGAATAGGAAAACAGAATTGGTTGTATTTTCTATCGACTCAGAGAGAGAGTCCCTCCCCCCCGCCCCATCTCAAGTTTCAATCAATACCGACAATCGAAATCCTTATTGAAACCATAATATTAAACCTTACTACACGTGTATACGCGTATACGGTATGTAAGGTGTACATATAGGTAGATTAAGGAAAATTAATCATTACGGGTTAATCAAAAAAAAATCATTTTAGAAATGATTTGCGTGCTAGAAACACGACGAGTATAAATCGGTAACTGAGGCAAGTAGAAAAATGTCGCATTTCTCATTAACATTAATCACCCAATACGGTGACCCAAATAGTGACGTTGATCGTTTATTAGCGATCATTTAGGCGAGAAGAGGATTAGCGAAAATTAAACTAGATTCCAAACAACTATCTATTTGGGCTTTATCGATTGTACGTAGAGACATAGACTTAACCCATGTCGAGCTCATTGAACGTTCAGGCCTGTTTGATAGGATGCATATTAACCGCAGGAGCGATCGCTCAGAAAGTTCGAATTCAATGATCGTTTAACGACGTTTCCGCGTTATACCGGACTGATTCGCTCGCAGTTTCGAGCGAGAGACATGTATGAGTAGTAGTACCGAGGAGACGAAGAGAAGTAGAAGCGGCCCAGCCGCCGTCTCTGCAGGTGCGCACTCGACTCGAGTTAACTTTGATGATTCTCCACGTACAAGACATGGTAACCGTTGGGAAACTGTATATCCCACGAAATCTGCATCCGCGGTCGCTCCGGTAATACAGCTAATTTGTCGAATGTTCCAAAGCAAATGCACTTCTCCTTCGTATGCTTCTCGCGTTGGGTGCCTTACTACTATACTACTAGGGTTAGTGAGTGCGCTGGGACTGAGAGAGGAAAAGGGACGTATATGCCGTTGGGAAACGGGAGGAAAGGAGAAGGATGAGACTAGCTTCCTAACGTATTAGATCTAAGTGGATTCCAGCCGAGTTAATTGGCGAATTAATTGAAACTGAAAATTAATTTAGAACCAAGTATACAATTGATATTTTACGATCAACAGAAAACAGTTTTATCCGCGTCACGAGTTTCAAAGTTAAAAAGTTTTAACGCGAAATTAAGCCACTCATAACTTTCGCGCGCATGAAGCGCTGCGTATATTAAACAATATACGAACGTAAATTATATAATATTCAAGCACGGTTAATCAAGATGTGGTAAGTAAATATTTTGTCAGACCGTAATATTGGCTTTTTTTTTTACAAAATTCTTCAAGATTTGAAAGATATGGAGATATGTGAAACGTTCGATTAACGAATAAAACACTTGTGTACGCGTAAAAGAAATGGAGCATCGCGTTAACAGCGTGGAACAGGATACGAGATCAAAGGCGAGAGAAGAATATATATTTCAACGTTTCCAATCGCGATATTTTTCGTCGTGTTTCTTCGACACCAAAGATATCCTCTCGGATTTCTCTCCTCTCTCTCTCTCTCTCTCTCTCTTTTTTTTTCCAAATTCACCTCGCTAGTCGGTTGTGACGTTTTTCTCTAACACTCCGCAAATATTTGAGCGCCAACTATACTCTTCCCAAAGAGCATTTGAGTTGAGTGAGCTTTTGCACCCTCGCAGAGCCAATCGGCGTTTACCGATTGTAATCTAAGCCAATGCCTCGCTGCGCACTAAATGTCAAATGTTATCCGGCTCTTTCTCTTTCTCTCTGTTTCGAGTTCGTGCTGCTCTCCGTGGTGCTCGCTTTCACATTTTCCATGTACACAGACCTAGGAAGGAAAGTCGGCTC